TGCCTCCAGCCTTCTCCTCGTTGCAACATTCATCACCCATGCTTCACACCCATATAAGAGCGTTGGTAAAACTATTTTCTCATACATTCCCCTCTTTGCCTCCAAGATCAAAGTTCTTTGTCTCCAGAGACTCCTAAGTGCACCACTCACCCTTTTCCCCTCATCAATTCTATGAGTCACCTCATCTTTCATAGACCCATCCGCTGACACGTCCACTCCCAAATATCTGAATACATTCACCTCCTCCATACTCTCTCCCTCCAATCTGATATCCAATCTTTCATCACCTAATCTTTTTGTTATCCTCATAACCTTACTCTTTCCTGTATTTACTTTTAATTTTCTTCTTTTGCATACCCTACTAAATTCATCCACCAATCTCTGCAACTTCTCTTCAGAATCTTCCAAGAGCACAGTGTCATCAGCAAAGAGCAACTGTGAGAACTCCCACTTTATGTGTGATTCTTTATCTTTTAACTCCACGCCTCTTGCCAAGACCCTCGCATTTACTTCTCTTACAACCCCATCTATAAATATATTAAACAACCACGGTGACATCACACATCCTTGTCTAAGGCCTACTTTTACTGGGAAATAATTTCCCTCTTTCCTACATACTCTAACTTGAGCCTCACTATCCTCGTAAAACTCTTCACTGCTTTCAGTAACCTACCTCCTACACCATACACCGGCAACATCTGCCACATTGCCCCCCTATCCACCCTGTCACACGCCTTTTCCAAATCCATAAATGCCACAAAGACCTCTTTAGCCTTATCTAAATACTGTTCACTTATATGTTTCACTGTAAACACCTGGTCCACACACCCCCTACCTTTCCTAAAGCCTCCTTGTTTATCTGCTATCCTATTCTCCGTCTTACTCTTAATTCTTTCAATAATAACTCTACCATACACTTTACCAAGTATACTCAATAATTTTTGCACTCTCTTTTGTCCCCTTTGCCTTTATACAAAGGAACTATGCATGCTCTCTGCCAATCCCTAGGTACCTTACCTTCTTCCATACACTTATTAAATAATTGCACCAACCACTCCAAAACAATATCCCCACCTGCTTTTAACATTTCTATCTTTATCCCATCAATCCCGGCTGCCTTACCCCCTTTCATTTTACCTACTGCCTCACGAACTTCCCCCACACTCACAACTGGCTCTTCCTCACTCCTACAAGATGTTATTCCTCGTTGCCCTATACACGAAATCACTGCTTCCCTATCTTCATCAACATTTAACAATTCCTCGAAATATTCCCTCCATCTTCCCAATACCTCTAACTCTCCATTTAATAACTTTCCTATTTTTAACTGAGAAATCCATTTGTTCTCTAGGCTTCCTTAACTTGTTAATCTCACTCCAAAACTTTTTCTTATTCTCAACAAAATTTGTTGATAACATCTCACCCACTCTCTCATTTGCTCTCTTTTTACATTGCTTCACCACTCTCTTAACCTCTCTTTTTTTCTCCATATACTCTTCCCTCCTTGCATCACTTCTACTTTGTAAAAACTTCTCATATGCTAACTTTTTCTACCTTACTACTCTCTTTACATCATCATTCCACCAATCGCTCCTCTTCCCTCCCGTACCCACCTTCCTGTAACCACAAACTTCTGCTGAAACACTCCAACACTACATTTTTAAACCTACCCCATACCTCTTCGACCCATTGCCTATGCTCTCATTAGCCCATCTATCCTCCAATAGCTGTTTATATCTTTACCCTAACTGCCTCCTCTTTTAGTTTATAAACCTTCACCTCTCTCTTCCCTGATGCTTCTATCTCCTTTTATCCCATCTACCTTTTTACTCTCTGGTAGCTACAACTAGAAAGTGATCTGATATATCTGTGGCCCCTCTATAAACATGTACATCCTGAAGTCTACTCAACAGTCTTTTATCTACCAATACAATAATCCAACAAAATATATATATATATTATATATATATATATATATATATATATTATATATATATATATATATATATATAATATATATATATATATATATATATATATATAAATAACGCAGAATATATTAGATATTAGACAAGACATTTTGCATTATTGATTCTGGAGTAACACTTACGAAAGACAGTGTGTCGGATATTGACCAGAATGGCTTTAAAATATTTATAGGAGATAACATAGATATGCTCAGGAAATGATAGTGATAAAAAGCATCATCAACGAATGCAGTATACTCAGTAAGAGAGAGGATATAAGACAGTATTTACTATGGCAGATATATCCCAGGCGAGGAACGTTTGCTCTCTGTGATGCTGTTCCCTAGACGTGCTGATGCATTAAGAGAAGTGTCGGTGAAGGTGTGCCTGTCTAACCTAGCTAGCTGTAGCTATCAGAGGTAGCTTGTTGGCACGTCTCACCGTGTAGATTATATTATATATATATATATATATATATATATATATATATATATATATATATATATATATATATTATATAATTTATATATATA